TATCTGTGTATCCGATTTCTGATAGGAAATCTTTATTCTTTATTCCTTCTCTTGATTGCACTTTAAAGTGTATTCTCTCTTTTCATAGAAAGAGAAACATAAAGTATGTTAAACAAGAAACGATTCAGTATCAATTTCACGACGCGATACAAGCTGGTATTTATAATCGATTCTTGCATTTAAAGGTCATTCTACAATGATCATATCGTAGCGTCGGAAGCGTCGTAAGCATCATTCGATTTTAAAATTGAAGCATCGGATTGGCTGAAACAACAAACTTGTGACTTGCGACGTCTACGACCAATGTAGAATGATTTTAAGACTGTCTTAAGCTGTTATAAGTCAATTCGAGGACTGTATTAGCATCTTAAAACATAATTTAAGGCAATTTTAAAAACGGGCTATGAATATAGCCCTCTGTTTAGCGTTTCACAGTTGGCAGCCTTTTCCCTTCACGCGACATTCATAGACAGAGACGGCGAAGATTTAAAGAGAGCAAACTGAGCACATCATATTATCCCTTCCACCATAGTATATATTCTAAGCGATATGATCCCTGTCCGTGTGACGTCTTAAAAATCCGAGCCTTTTGTTTGATTCTCACATGTAAAGCGGCAGACGATAATAAATTATATCGGAACATATCATTTCACAGGTAAATTAATGAAAAATATAAACAAATATTTACTTTAATGTTAATAACAAAACCTAATCCCTATTCATTACGAATGCTCCTGATAGTGACAGAGAAAAAAATCACAATCATATTCCCCTTTCTATGACTTTATATGGCACATTTAATCGGATTTAATAACATCCGTAGTTATGAAATTGTCAATCATAGCTGTTTCTCGGAAGAATAGAACGACTGTGATTGGCCAGTTTCGTAACTACAGATGTTATTAAATCTGACTAAGGATGCTGTGCAACAGAGATCACTATTCAACACAGTTTGCTCGCTCCATTAGTATATGTTCTAAGGATTGTAGAACTGAATCCAAGATTACGTTTACATGGCACCCTTAAGTCCGGATCTACAATAATATAGGTGTTCTAAACCTTAAGCCGTAACAAATTGGCCAATACATTACAATCAATGCGAGGAGAATAATTGATTGTGATTCGTCCATTTCTTATAGCTTAAAGTTTAAAAATCTGTTATAGATCCGAGCTAATCGGATTTAATGGCATCCGTTGAAATTGGCTAATCACATTCGTTTCATTCTTCCGAGAAACAGATATGATTGACCAATTTCATAATTATGGATGTTATTAAATCCGATTAAGCATACTGTGTAATAGAGATCAATTGTAGCTATATATTTATGCCAAAGTAAAAAAGTATCACATAAATAAAACTAGGAAAATATCATAGTATATGTTACGTATACTATAATATTTCTCTAGTTTTTCGTATATTTTTTTTCAAGATTAAAGGTCTAGCGGGATTCTCTTTTTAAACGTTTTATCGATTGTTGCTATCATTAACAACCAATGGCAAGATTATTTGAAAGAAAGCGCGACATTGACTTTTGCTAGTTAACAGCAGCGACAATTATCGATAAGACGTTTAGAGAATCCCGCAATAGATAATGTGTAAACAAGAATAATTGCATCGTAACATTCAGTTAAATAACCTATTGGAAGTCCAAAGTCTTTCAATGAATTTTCAATTGAATTAGAATACATGCTTGTGAATAGGATTGGGCATACATTAAACATAACATATTATATATGATTTTTATACGTATAATACCGTATGTTGGACGTATTATACGGACGTTCTATACGTATTATACGTATTATACATGTAAGAAACTACTCGCAACTCTAAACTGCCCATCTCTACTCGTGAGCGCGCATTCAAGAATGGATGATAAACTTTTCTTTTTTTAACTTTTTTTATGTCTGTGACCTTGAATTACCTTGAGTATTTCTATGATCATTATATTTGTCTTGAGGTGACTACACAACACACGTAGGTGTTTTTTAAAAAATTGATAGTAATTTCATTTAGAGAGGACATTCATATCTTTTTAATGTCTCTACCTAAAAAAAACTGATGAAATAACCAAAGTATATCCCCTTCAAAATCGTTCCATTTTCATCTGAAATATTTTGTTGTTATCAATAATTTCAGAGAAAATTGACTGGATTGATTAAAATGGGACACTCTGTATATGTGTATATATATTATATATAAACATAATATAAATTTCTTTGGTCTTTGTTCTATATCTATTTACATAAAAATTATATATTTCTGGAACATTCTTTTTAAAATAATCAGAGATTGTTGCAGTTACTGTAATCTAATGAATAGTTGAGATTTGATATGTACATAGCTATTCTAAAGGAGAACTTTTACATACTACGATATAAATACTTAAAAATTCGAAATATCATAAATCAAAATTTGAAATATCAATATTATTTTAATCTTAAAATTTAAATTGTATTTTTTTTATCGAAATCTTTTTATATATTACTAATAATGCATCTATGACAATTTTTGTTGGAGAAGAAACTGGAACAATCTCATGATTATAACAATATTATGTTTTCGAATATGGTGTTCATTATGAAAAAAACAACTTATTTTTTAAAACACTATTTTTTAAATGCTAGATCAAATTCACAATTCACAATTCAGTTTGAATATCATGTATAGAATTATGCTAATACAATGAAATTGATAATTCTATATTAATCCAACATTAAGAATGTCATGCTTTATCAATCATTGATCAGATATAAAATTACATTCCTTTTCATGTTTTAGATATTACTGTCTCCAAATCTTAATATACTTATCTAATTTTTTATTTTAAATTCAATGTATATCAAATTTTCTATATTTTCTATATTTTATATCTTTTTTCTTTCTCTGAAACAGATCTGTCTAATTTGAGCTCTGGAGCTAAAGCCACCGATGCAAAATAATTCAACGTAAGATTTTTAAGAGTTATAAAGTGTTTATAAGCGTCACTTAGATGCATATTGACACTTTACAGTCCCCGCAATCTTATCTAAATCTTATCTTGAATTTTTTTTGCGTTGATGGCTTTGCGTTTTGACTCTGGAACAAATTGGATAAGGATTGTCTAAAACATAACAAGAATACATTCTATTTCAAGTGTTTAAAAAAACAAATATTTAAAAAAGTGCAAATGAATAAATAAATCTGTCGTCGAAAAATTTGCAAAAGACATAATGTTTTAGACAAAAATCTTTCAAATTCTGTACATTTAAATTTCATTTTATGAAAAATGTGATATAGACACTTTGATTATTTAATATTCCTATATAACTTATTACATTTACATAAATGTATCTATAAATGTAAATTTTAATTTAC